GTCAGAAAGCACAAGTAATTTTCCCTATGTTATATAACTAATAAGTGCAGGGGCTGTGACTGAGATCCAGGTTCTCTTGACTAGTAGTTGCCTCTCTGTAACACAACACATACAGAATAACCTTGTTTATCCAAATATTAACTGTACCTCCTCTCTGTATATGCCACTTGGCTGTGAAAATTGACTCACAGTGGGATTCCTCAACTCACCTCTTAAGTATTTAATTAAGAGAGGGGATGGAGAAGTCCAATAATGTTAACTTATACATCAAAATGCTTACAGATATTAAATATATTATTATTCTAGTTAAGTTACATAGTTTTATTGCTGCACTCATTGTGTATTTTTATCATTCTTGGAGCCAATTCATTTTACATATGAGGTTTGACTATTTTTCTTTGTCTTAATTTCTTCACATAATACTTGAGAGATATAATATAAAATGTCTCTATTTGCATAATATCTGAGACACAAGAAATATCACATTAGGTTGGGCCAGTGATTCATCTGGCCAGGTGTTCTATCCACGACAGTCAAACCAAAGGATGTTTGGAAGAGCAGGGTGCTTATGATGCAGTCCTCACAGGTTAAAGATACATCCAAAACATCCTTTTTTCTTCATCGAGGTACTATGTTTTCTTGGCTTTACCATCATCTTGAGTTTACTCTGGAGTTTTGGAGGGCAGAAGAATGCTTAGGTCATGTTTAGTTTTTATAGCCTCATTTAGAAGGAATGTGTCCTTTGGGTACAGTCTTTGCCCATTGTCTAGATTTAAAGTTCTTTTTCTTGCAGGTGGCTTAATTTATATTTGTCGATGGCACAATGAATGCAAATAACCACACAGGTGACCTTAAAGGTTTTACATGAGAATGAAAGAAGGAAATATTTTTTATGAGTTAATGTAAGTTCAAAAAGGGTTCTTGTTTTTGTTGAGGTTTTCCTGCATTTCTACAAATATTTGATGCTTAAGGAAGAAATGTTTAATCTGATATAGACTTTGGATGGTTGGCTGTCTATGTATATGTTTTTTCATTAGCTGTTTCAAAGGAAGTGCTTTATCCTTAGATGTAAAAAAGTAGCCTTAGATTCATCAAATTGTATGGGACTTTGAGCATGTCATCTGGTCATTCTATTTTATTGTTTCCCCTTCTATCCAGACAGATAGGTATAGATGTAGATATAGATATAGATATAGATATATGTCATCAATGAGAATATAATCAAAATGGAGTGATAACCAATTTCATGAGATGTATGGCCAAAATAATCAAATTAATTGAGCATTTTTTGCATATTTCAATAGCTTTAATTGAGGATGTTCTTTACAAAAATCAGTCCAAAGCATTGCTTCTGCCTCCAACTAAAACTTCTTTTAATTAAAGCTAGAAGATATAAACTACTCCTTTTTCAAATCTTTAGAAAACTAAGTCATTGATGCTACCACAGGACAAATTATATACATATTTATCAGTCAAGATAATTAAATTCTTCAAAAATAGGAAATTATTTTTGAGATCTAACCATATCTAGATTAAAATAATGTAATATTGTATTTTAGAGGATTGATTTTAGCAAGAGAAAACACAAACAAAACTCTGTAATTTCACAATTCAAGTCAAAGTTTTATTCAAATGAAGTTTACAAATATAAATTTAACAAATTAATCACCAAGGTTAATTTTTATCACATAAGTTATTAAAAGATTGAAAATATCCACTTGGTTACATAGGTCTTAGTTAAAATAGCATTTATGTAGAAATTTTTCATGAAATTACATATTTTATCCTTCCTCCCAGTAGAATGTAAGTTCTTTGAAGGCAAAGAAGATTTTTCATTTTTTCTTTGTATGCACACACCTTAGCACAGTGGCTTGAATATCTTAGGTGCCTAATAAATGATCTGATCAGGTTGTATTAGATCAGATTGGATAAAGTAATCTGTGAGCAATGAATTTATTACCAATAATAATCTGAGCAACTGCTTCATCTTGAAAGGTATAACAAAAAAGTAATTATAGACAAAATGATATGATTTTATAAGAAAAGAAAGATCAAATTTTATTCCTGCTGTTGGAAAAGTGCTTATTGTCAGGGTGACAAAACACATAACTGGTTGACTGAAGGCTATGGAGACTTTAAATTCAGGTTCTGCTAGATAGCTGTCTATAGGAAAATTCCTATATTATCTGACCATGGAAAGTCTTTGTTTTCACTCCTGCTATACCAATACCTCATATTTCATGACAAAACATTGGTTTATCTATAGTACTTCTGGACTGTAAGAACTTAATGATCAAATTAAAGTTAGTAAAGAGGAAAGTCACCTTCCCTTGTCTGGTTCTTTCTTTCTTTCTTTCTTTCTTTCTTTCTTTCTTTCTTTCTTTCTTTCTTTCTTTCTTTCTTTCTTTCTTTCTTTCTTTCGTGAGGCTATTGGGGTTAAGTGACTTGCCCAGAGTCACACGGCTAGTAAGTGTTATGTGTCTGAGGTTGGATTTGAATTCAGGTCCTCCTGACTCCAAGGCCAGTGCTCTATCCACTGTGCCCTTGTCTGATTTTCAAGGAGTAATCTGGATTGTTAAATAAAGTTTGACTATATTTCTGGGATTATAGAGAAATTATGGAACAGAATAGAAAAAGCACTGCATTTGGAGTCAAGAAAATTTGAATTTGAGTCCTGATTCTAAAACTTACTAGCTATGTGCTTCTGGGCATGTGACTCCTCTGGTTAACAATCTTCAGTGTAAAGTAAAATTCAATCTCTTTTGCTTTTAATCAAAACCTTCTACCACCTGTCACCACTATGCTTTTCTAGACATTGTACACACTCTACACTAAAGCCAAACTGGATAGTTAAGTTCCTTTCCACTCTTCCCCAAATACAAATTACTTTTTTTTTCTTTCAGGCAATTGGGGTTAAGTGACTTGCCCAGGGTCACACAGCTAATAAGTGTCAAGTGTCTGGTCTGAGCCTGGATTTGACCTCAAGTCCTCCTGACCCCAGGACTGGTGGTCTATCAACTGTGCCACCTAGCTGCTCTCCAAATACAAATTACATTCATATCTTTGTGCTCTTTTTCCAACTGTTCCCTATGCCTATAAGACTTTTTCATCCCCATCTTCACCTATTTCACCATTCCTTTAAAGCCCACTTCCTCCAGAAAGGCTTACATTATCTACACACACACACACACACACACCCCAAATTCTAGCAAATTTCCTCCTCAAACTTCAAATAATACTTTATTTTTTAGCTCTTTAATTTCTTTATCATGCAAAATGTATGTGAGAATGATTAGTCTTATACCACTACCAGAACTCCTAGAGGGCATATTTTTGACCAGATTAAATATGTAGACCAACAGAATACGGGGCTTATTTTGGTATAACAGACTTGTCTTCAGAGTTTCAAAACAAAGGAGGAGGACACAGGAGTATCACAGGAAGCAAAGTGCTATGGTGAATAGAGTGCCAGACCTCAAGTTTAGAAGACTCTTCCTCCTGAATTTCAAATCTGGTCTCAGATACTTACTACCTGTGTGACCCTGAGCAGGTCACTTAACCCTGTTTACCACAGTTCCCTCATCTGTAAAATGAGCTATAGAAGAAAATGGCAAAACACTCCAGTATCTCTGCCAAGAAAACCCTAAATGGGGTCAAAAACAGTTGGACATGACTGAAATGACTGGATAACAACAATAACAACCCTCTTTTAATTCATAAAGATATCACTTTAATTCGGGCTCTCATAACCTCCTGCCTAGATTATCTCAATAACCTTCTACTTGGCCTCCTTGCCTCAAATCTCTTACTACTCCAAGCCATTTTACAATCTGCTGTCAAGGTCATTTTTTAAGTACAGTTCTAACCATGGGCCTACTCTAGTTAATCAACTATAGCAGCTTCCTACTGCCTGCAAGCTAAAATAGAATCACCTCTGTTTACCTTTTAAAGACCCGTACAATTTTGCCTCAACCTACTTGTTCAACTTCACTGGGCATTACTCTCCTTCCTGCACTCTCAAATCCAGCCACTCTGGCCTTTTCTCCATTCCACACGCAGGACATCCTATCTCCCATCACTGAATGTTTGCAGTGGAAGTCCTCCATGCCTGGAACGTGCTCCTGCCTCACCTCTGACTTACAGAGTCCTTCTCTTCTCTTAAAAAGATGCATCTCAAGTACATCTACTTCATGGAGCTTTTTCCGATTCCCCTTTACTGTCCACCTTCTCAAATGATCTTGTATTTATATTTGTATGTAATAACATATAATATGTTATTTTTGCTGTTGAGTTGTTTCAGTAGTGATCGAATCTTCAGTGACCTCATTTGGGGTTTTCTTGGCAAAGATACTAGAGCAATTTGCCATTTCCCTCTCCTGTTTATTTTGCAGATGTGGAAACTGAGGCAAACAGGGTTAAGTGACTTGCCCAAGGTCACAGCTACAGGTCAGATCTGAACTCAGGTCTTTCTGACTCCCGGCCTGTGCTCTTCCATTGCCCACCTAGCTGCCCTAGTATATAATGTACTTTCTATATATTTTGTACAGTGGGTGGCATAGTGGATAGTGTGTTGGAGGCAGGAAGACCTGAGTTTGAATCCTTCCCAAGGCTCATACTAGCTATGTGACCCTGAGCAAGTAAGTTATTTAACCTCTTCAGCTTCAGTTTCCTTATCTGTCGAATATGGTTGACTGTGGGTCCACTTCTCTAGTACCTTGAAGGATTTGGGAAGATATTCTTCCTCTGCCATTGATTCAAGCCCCCTCCAACTGTGTTCCCCTCCCCCTATTTTAGAGACCAAGTGCTTAGCAATCCAGTTGCATTTAGCCATTTAACATCAGATTAGCGCTCTCTCTCTCTCTCTCTCTCTCTCTCTCTCTCTCTCTCTCTCTCTCGGCTGGGCAATGGGGTTAAGTGACTTGCCCAGGGTCACACAGCTAGTAAGTGTTATGTGTCTGAGACCGGATTTGGACTCAGGTCCTCCTGGCTGGTGCTCTATCCACTGCGCCACCTAGATGCCCCCCCCCCGCCCAAATTAGCTTTTACAAAGGTATATTTACTTAGAGGATACAGCAAGAATGAATATACAAACATTTTCTTCAATATATTGCAGGCTTAGTGTGGGGGTTGGTGGGGGGGTAGATTTGGCTCCCAACTTAGTTCAGTTACTGCATAGCATTAGGCCCACCAAGTTCAAGTCCAAAGACAGTAGTGCTGACTTCTTCGGGGCTGGAGTAGCCTCAGAGCATCACTGCTGAGCTAGCTGAAACCTCTACCCTGGATTCCTGGATGCTGGATCTCTAGGGTTGGCATTTGCAAGCCAGATCAGAGACTCTGCTCCCTGGACCTAGAACCAAAAAGAACAAATCTAAATGTCAAAGACCTGGGGCAGCTACGTGGTACAGTGGATAAGAGCACCAGCCCTAGATTCAGGAGGACCTGAGTTCAAATCCAGCCTCAGACACATAACACTAAATAGCTGTGTGACCCTGAGCAAGTCACTTAACCCCATTGCCTAACCAAAAAAAAAATGTCAAAGACCTAGGACCTCCAAGGCCTACCCCCTTGCCACATGATATGAGTGAAGGAGGCCTTCACCCTCAGTCTGGACTGTAACAAAAGCTCCCACCATTGCTGAGTCAAGCCCTTTTAAAGATACCCACAGTTCTGGCTATGCAGCCAATGGAAAAAAATCTGCTCCCAACCACGTGGTAGTTCAATTCAGAATGTCCATGCACAAACTCCAGTCTTCTAGATGCCCAGAAACAGGTCTTCAATACCTTCCATGTATATGATGCCACCTTACGTGCTAGGCATGTGCCAAGCCCCATTATATCCATTAAAAGGAGATCATTTTTGTTGTTCAGTCATCTTGGCAAAGACACTTCCTTCTCCAGCTCATTTTACAGATGAGGAAACTGAGGCAAGCAGGTTTAAGTGACTGGCCCAGGGTCATACAGCTAATAGGTGTCTGAGGCCAGATTTGAACTCATGAAGATGAGTCTTCCTGACTCTACCCTGTACCACCTAGCTGCCCCAAATGGAGATTATAAAAGCATTTAATTTGCAGATCTGTCATGAGAATCATGCTTTACATATGTAAAGCACTTTGCAAACCTTAAAGTGTTATATAAATGCTAGCAAGTACTTATATTTATTAACTTCATATTTTTGCCACATATATTTTTATATGTACTTGTTTTCTCTCCCATTAGAATGCAAGCTTCTTGTAAGTAGGGACTCTCCTTCTTTGCATGAGTATCCCCAGTGTCTAACACAGTACCAGACACATAGTAGATGTTTAATAAATATCTGTTGATTGATTAATTCTTAGACAGCTTGTAAGTTTCTTGAGGGCCAGGATTATTTCACTTTGGTGTTAGCATACCCAGCATCTCAGCACAGTATTTGCCACCTAACAACCACTTAACAAATGTGTGTTGACTGATTTCCTCTTTTTAAAAAAAAATTATTTTTAAAACCCTTGTCTAAAGTCTGTACCTTCCCCAGAGCCTAGCACAGTCTCCTATACAGAGCAGGTGTTTAATAGACATTTGTTGACTGATTAATCTGCCTCCCCTTGGGATTTATATGCTGGAGATCAGAAAAACCATAGCACAGGAACAAATGGGGGAATCCTTGATTCAGAAGCTCAAAGTAAAAGTACAGGAGTTTGCAGAGGTGAAGCCCTCTGAGATTTGGAAGTGGCATCATACGGTCTAGAGTAGAAAGGACATTAGGGATTATCTAATTGAACCCTCTCATTTTACATATGGGGAAACTGAGGCTCAGAGAAATGAAGTTATGTGACCTGGATCTTGCAGATAGTAAGCAAGAGAGCCAAGATTTGAACCTAATTCCTTTGATTCCAAATGCTGCACTTTTGCTACTGCAGTAGGCTGCTTCTCATTTCTAAATATGAGGAACATAAAAACAAGTTCCTAACAGCAACAAGGAATCTTTATTCTATTTATGGTCATTGACCAATAAGAAAAAGTAATAAAAGGCTACTTAAAACATTAACTTAATTTTATTTTCTTTGAAAAGAGAAGTATAAAATGTTCTATATTTGCATACATATATGCATATGGGTACTTGTATGTATGTATACACACATATATGTGTGTATACACAGAGACACACTATATATGTGTGTGAATATATATATATGTGTATATACATATATATATGTATATACACATATATATATATATACATATATATATGTATATACACACACACATATATATATATATATATATATATATATATATATATATCCTCAGTTTAAGTTAGGAACAGAAAATGCAAAACTCCTTTCTCTAAGCACAGTAAATAATGAAAGTGTACTTAATGTCTATATTAAGGTCAATAAAGGAAGAAATAGGAAGAAGATAGTAAATATCTGAGGCTGGATTTGAACTCAGGTCTTCTTGACTCCAGTCCCAGGATTTTATCCACTGAAGTACCTAACTGCCCTTGGTCACATTTATATAGTGTATTAAGGCTAGCAAAGTGCTTTACATACATTATCTCATTTGATCCCCACAGCAACCTTGTGAGATTGGTACTATTGTTATCATTTTGCATAAGAGGGAACAGTCTCAGACAGATAAGCATCTTGCCCAGGGTTGAAACTTTTAAGTAAGGGGCAGGCATAAAGAACCGGGTCTAGAGTCAGGAGAAGCTGAATTAAATCCAGCCTCAGATACTTACTTGCAGAACTTGGGCAAGTCACTTGACCCCATTTGCCTACCCCTCCAAAAACAAATAGTACATTATTCAGAGCTGCAGAGAACTGAAAACAACCTAAATGTGCAACTGTTAGCAAGCTGTGGCACATGAATATGATGGAATATTAAATGCCATTAAAAAATAAATAAGAAATATGAAGACATTTTCTAAAATGTAAATGAAGTAATGAAAAGGAAGTAGAGCCAGAAGAATAATAAATGTGCCAGCTATGAGTATATAAAAATGAAAATGTATACACAACTGCAAGAAGCTAGTGAATAAAGATAATAGAAGGGGAAACAAAGGAAGTAACTAATAAGCTATTATGGACATGTTACATATGGAAATTCATTTTAAAGCATCAACAACACCAAATGTATGTTTAGTTGATTTAGTAGTAGAGTTGAGGAAGAGGAGAGAATAGGAGTATATGTTGTTCAGTCATATCTGACTCTTTGTGACTCCATTTGAAGTTTTTTTGGTAGGTAATGAGTGGTTTGCCTTTCTTCGGCTTATTTTACAGATGAGGAAACTGAGGCAAAAGGGGTGAAGTGACTTGCCCAGGGTCACACAGCTAGTAAGTATCTGAGGCCAGATTTGAACGCAGGAAGATGAGTCTTCCTGACTCCAGTCCCAGCGCTCTATCCACTGAACCACCTAGGTGCCTCAGGAGGGGATGAGGTGGTCCCCATTCTATATAAGAGGCATCCTAGCACCACAGTCCAGTTTTCATTTTCTCCTCAATGAACTCCTTAAAATAATACTGGTCAAATGACAGTGCAAAAAATTGTCCATAAAATAAAAAAAGATTTCCAAGCCCCAGCTGATTGCCCACTTACTTCAAAAACATTTCAGTAAAACAAAAGAATATGAGGTGTCCTATGGAGTTTAAAATGGGCTTTGCCTCATCTTTGTTTTTTTTCTATATTTCATTGTCTGCTGACTGAAGACTAGCAAACAAATGTCTGTTTTCTTACAGTTTCTAAACAATATTTTGGAACTCTACCCAATGTCTAGAGAGTCATCATTTGGGAGAAACTTCTCTGAGGAACTGAAGAAAAGCCTTTCTTTGTCTTCCATGTACTTTACCTGATCTTTACATTTTGACCTTGTTTATATTTTCTGAAACTGTAGGTGAAATTGTTGGGTTGGTCAATAAACTAATCCAACCATCAATAAAACACACCCTCTGGTTTATTAATATGTGATTAAAAACTTATATGATAAAAAGATATTGACTGCAACCAAGTGTGGGGTGACAAGAACAATTACGGTTCCTGAGCTTCATTACTGCTTGAGCTACTGAACCCAGTGAAAGTCACAGACTTATTTATAGTCAATGCTATGGGGTTTTCTTTTTAATGGTAAATGAAGTATTGAGATTCATTAAGACTTTAATTTTACTTGGTTTCCTTTGACAACTTTACCAAGGCTTCAAAGGGAAATGAAGAATATGAAACCTCTTTTTCTCACCATTCTAAGATGAAATAATTACTTTGCTCAAAGGTTCCCAGCTGAGGAAACTGAACCTCCAAACTCTTAGTTAACTTGCTCATGGTAGGAAAACTAATAACAACCTGTCTTAGTTTGAAGCCAATTCTTCCTGACTCTGAACTCTATGCATTGCCTCAGACCGAAAATTGATTGAAAGAACTGAGGATGTTTTTAGTAGAAAAGAGAAGACATAGAGTAAAAATATGCTAGTGGTCTCCAACTCACTCAACCTCTCTGAGACTCAGTTTCCTCCTCATCTATAATGAGGATAAAATAAATACCTAAAGTACCTTACTGAATCATTCTGAAGTTCAAATAAGATAAATAGATGTAAAATACTGTATTACTATTATTGTGACCTCATGATCCTTTTCCATCCGAGTTGTTCTCCAGCTTATCAACGTCCCCCTTATGGACATTCACCACCTGGGTGAAATGCGGCACTCAACACATAACACCGTGCTCTAGATGAGGTCTGAGCAGGGCAGCAGAGGTATTGTTACCTCCTTAATAGTTTGAAGGGTTGTTAAGAGATTAGATCTATTTTGCCTGGTCCCAGAGTGTCAAGCAAAAATGATATCAGTGGGTGAAAGTAGCAAAGAAGCAAATTTAAGTTAAAAAAACCCAACAACAACTTCCTAACAACTATATGAAAAACAAGCTATCTCACAAGATTGTGTCTTCCCCCCACACCAAAGGTCTTCAAGCAAAACTGGATAACCATTTCATGGACATTTTGTGAAGGATTCTTATTCATGTACCAGTTGGACTGGACAGCCTCTAAGGTAATTTCCAAATCTGAGATTCTGTGAGTAGCAATTAATGGAGCTATGTCAACTTGGAAAGAGATCTCTAGTGGAACCAGTCAGTCAATTATCATTTATTAAGCACCTACTAAGTGTCAGGGATACAAAAAAAAAGCAGTCCCTACTCTTACGCAGTTCGTAGTCTAATGAAGGAAACAACATGCGAACAAATATGTACAAATAAGATAAAGACAGGATAAATTGGAGATAATTAACAGAGCCAAGGCACCAAGATTAAAGAAGAAAGGGAAAGGCTTCTTGCAGAACTACCTGATGCTATTTCGTATTTTGTATCAGTAACTTGTATGAAGAAAAAGATGGCATACATCAGATTTTCAGATAACACAAAGCTGGGTGAGATAGTTTACATGTTAGATAAAGAGTCAAAATCCAAAAAAGATCCCAACAGACTACAAGCATGAACTATATCTAAAAAAGTGAGAGATAATAGGGATAAATATGAAGTCTTATAGTTGAGTTCAAAAAAATTACATTTCAAATATAAGGTGCTATAAATAGTAGTTCATTTGGAAAAAAAAGATCTGGGTATTTTTTGAATTGTAGGCTTAAGAGGATTCAACTGTATGAAATGGCAGGCAAAAAGGTGATGATTCCTCTGCTATGCAGAAAGAAGAAGGTACTAACCCTAATGTATTTTTTCCTTCTCAAAACCACTCCTCTCTCCCCTATTAGATTATGAACAGATTACTGTAGTGGTCTGATGATGATTGAAGCCACTTGCTTCAGTTTCCATAGCATCCATTTTTTTTCAAAAAGCCTAAACTAGCATGATCTTTGTCGACCAACACTAAAAAGTATTTGACAGAAAAAGAACACTACTGTCTTGAGAGAGTTACTATGTGAGCAGACAAGCAAATCAGCAATTCTCCATTCGTATGTCCATTACTCTAATTCAGGCCCCCATCACTTCTCATTTGGGCTATTACAATAGGTTTCTAATTGGTGTCCTTGTCCCTATTCTCTCCCTTCTTAAACCTAAACACCACATTACTATCAAAATGATATTCTTAAAGCACATCTGACCATGTCACTCCCTTGCTGAAAAATCTTCAGTAGCTCCCTATTGCCTCTAAGATGAGGCTTTGCTTGAAATTTTACACCTATCATAATCTGGTTCCAACTTATCTTACAAGACATTTCATATTAGTCCCTTTCATCAATCCCCTATATTCCAAACAAACTGATTTACTTCCTCTTCCCTGTACATAGCATTCCATCCATGCCTTTGCATAGACTTGCAGCCCATGCCTGGAAAGTTGTCATTCCTCATCTCTACCTCTTGGAATTGCTAGCTCCATTCAAGGCTCAACTTGAGTGTCACCTGCCACAGGAAGAGGGCCATTCCTGATCCTATTAGTTGTTCCCATTGTCTTCCCTATCTCCTCATGATTATTCTGTACATATTTTTCCCTTGAGGTCAAGGACTATTTTCATTTTTTGTCTTTGCATTCCCTTTATCTAACACAGTGCTAGACACATAGCAGATACTTGATAAATATTTGCTGAATTGAATGTTCTTAAAACTAATCGCTAGACTATTCACTTAAAGGAACATTTTCTGTAAACTACCCCCAAACACCCTGATACCTAACCCAAAGTAAACTTCAAATTCAATACGTAACAGCTGCTATTAGAAATCTGCTGCTTTTAATCAACTGCTAAATCTAAACTATTACATCAACATCTTCACTAAATTTAAATTTTCACGATATTAAAATCATAGTGAGAGATAAAATCCATCCAACAAAATCTTCCCTTTCCTTTCCTTCTTGGACATAAAAATGAAGGTTTAAGTATCCTTTAACCAGTGGAATCTCTACTATTAAAAGCTTCGATTCTTGGACTAATTCCAACTTAGGTAATTGTGTTCTTCCTACCTAAGTTCTCCCTATAGTCTCATTTAGATAATGCATGGTATCCTTCACTCCTTCTCCCAACCCCACTGATATGTTTCACCCTAGAGGATTCATTGGACTGCAGGCTTCAAAGCTCTCTCCTCCATAGATGATACTACTAACCTACTGACAGCAGAACCTATGCCTTGAGTTGTTTTCCTAGCAGTGAAGATGGGTTTGCATTGTTCCATTCATGCTCTTTCCCTTGGTCACCATCATGCACACATTTGGTACAGGACTAAGCAGAATGCAATACAGCATATTTTACTATGAAACCAACATACTTCTTGGTGAAAAGCATTGTTCCACAAAAAGGTAAAAGCTGTGACCTTGGCCTCATCAGCATCATTGCCTAACAAACTGAGCTAGCAAAACTAGACACCGGCTATGTTGAGTTACCACCAAAACATTCAGTTGACTGTGTGTTGATGAAACCAATTCCTCCCCATCAAGCAGCTGGTTTAAAGCAGCAGATTTCAAATAGCAGCTGTTACGTACTGAGTTTTGAATTAAGTTTGGGTGAGGTATCAGGATGTTTTGGAGGAGTTTCCCCAAAAATGTTCCCTGAAGTGAATAGCTTTATGTTCACTCAGCCTAAATAACTGGCAAATGGTTTTCAGTAAATCTGTTTTGGTTGTGTCAATTCATTGGTTATACGGACAGACACAGACTCAGTAAAGAAAATAGAGAGCTAATTATTATTATACATTTATCATCACTCTTATTTGAATGGCTAGCTATCACATGGGAGAAAGATTATAATGGTTATGCTTGGTCCCAGAGGACTGAATTAAAAGCAATGGTGGGGGGGGAGTTGAGAAAAAAGGCAAATTTAAACTTGGTAAAAGAAAAACTTCTTACAATTCAAGCTGCCTAAAAGTAAAACAACTACCTGGACAGGTAGTGGGTTCATTTCACTGGAGGTTTTTAAGCAAAGAAGCCAGGTGACCATTTGTCTGAAATCTTAAGTTGGGAATTCCTTTTATGTAATAGTTGTACTACATAGCTCTGACATTCCTTCCAGCTCTGAAATTCTGTGATATTGTGTATTTTATCTACTACAACAAATTTATATGTATGTATATTCTCTCCATTCACTTTTTAAAAAATTACTATATCATTTCTTCAACAATTCAATTCTTAATATGTTTAATTTTTCAGGTCCATTTCTTTGGAGACTAGGTCAAAATGAAGAAAATTCATAATATCTTATATCAGTTGATATCAGGTGATGCTAATTCTAATTGCCTTCAAATTTTGCTGTATTTTTATAATTTGGTAATATTTTGAAATTTGGGTCAGCAAATACATGATATAGCTCAGTTGTGCTTTCTACTTAACTGAATTTGAAATTAGCTTTGATAGGAAAATCATGAAATGATTTTTCTGATGAATTTCAAGATATTTAATTAGGCTCGAATCTAAGAAAGGAGCTTTCTCCTTTCTTGGCTCTTCATTTTGATGATTATAATTAAACCTGTAATTTTGTTGACAGAGCATTTGGCTATGTTTGTCTTCCAAAGTGGTTACATTGAATTGAACTCACCTGAGGAAAACCAAAACATATACTCTGTTTCTAATTTTGATTGTTGTGAATTGTGGTTTGTACATTCATAGACAATGCCATTAAGATGGGGCAGTCTAATTCAACTCAATCACAAATCATTTTTTGTTCTGGTCAGATATAGATGTTAGCTAGTCATATAACATGAGAAAAGGATAATAGAGTCCTTGTGCTCTGTTGGTACCCACATAGAAGAAAGTCTATAGCACACTGAGTAGACTCCCAGGGGAGAATATATAGGAAAGCATTAACAAGAAATATCATTGAGTGAGAAGAGATGGACTTTGATCTGTAGATAGAAGATACTCATATAGATAAAATCATGGATCCATAGATGTATACAAATTTTTAGATCAATGTCATAGAGGGCTATTATTTTCTCACATAAAACGCTCCTTGGTGCCAGGGACAAAGAATAAATTCCTAGGTTGGATATACCATTGGCCTAAACCAGCCTGCCAATTTTTATTGTCTTGTGGTCTTAGCTCTCATGATTCAGCATTACTAAGTATAAATATGTCATAAGTTGACCTATTAAGTGAGAGAGTACAATTTTACATAAATTATTTCTGGATTATAACCCACTCTTTCAGAATATTTCAACCAAGAAAAGAGTTTAAAATATATTTTCCTAATTTTTTCTTTGATCATCAAAAAATCCTTTTTTGGGAGATTAAGCATGGCATAATGATAATAGTAATAGAGTTGGATTCAGAAGAATTGGATTCAAGTTCCAGATCTGACATTTATTTAGCTATGCAGTTATGAGCAAGCCAATTTTCTTTACTGTCTCAGTTTCTTTATCTGTAAAATGGGGATAATAATGCTTATACTACCTATATCTACAAATGTGTACACTATTACTAATATAAGAACTTACCCTAGTACGATAGGAGCAGTATATACCAGCATCCCCTTCATCCCCTACCTCCATCCCCTCATGGGTTAAGCTAGATTTTTCCTAAAAGTCAGTCTAGTACTTGATTGGCCTGGGGAGAGGGCAAGGCTCAAGCTGTGTCTCCCTTGATACAGCTTACTGATGGCATCTGGCTGTGTTAATGTGACTTCCTAGTCACCTAAGGGTATAAAAGACACTACCTACTGCCCTTCAGACTTAGTGGATGCCAGAAGACCATACCAGGTAGCACATTCTGCCTTGCTTAATAGATTATTTCCATATGGAGATGAAGCTGTATCGCAGTAACTAAATTCTACTGTATCCTTGTTGCCCTATGTTAGGATTAAGTCACTTTCCTTTTATTAATTGCTCAGTGATTTATGAGTGCCTCATTTTGTCCTTCCACCAGAAAAGCAAAGGCTTTCACTTACCTGCAGGGCATTCTATATGTTCTGTCACAGGTCTGCATCTGTAGTGGAGAGACGGAAACTGAGAGATTTTTTTTTCCTTTTCAGCCTATTACCCATGATAATAGCAAAAAAAAAAAAACATGAACAAAGAGTTATAATGTAAGCCTAAAAGGATGTGAACAAAATAGTGTTTTGAGCAAAAATCAAGGCCTTTCTAATCCTCTGTAAACAATAAAAATCCTTAACAAAGTACAATATTCATTTACATTTTAAAAAAACCTCCAAAATACAGCCATATAAAGATCTTTTTTAATAAATAAAAAATATCTCTCTCTAAAACCAAAATCTAACATGTAATATGGATACACTAGAAACTTCCCAAATAAGTGCAGGAATAAAGCAAGGATGCCCCCACCTTACCCTGTGGTTATTTGATGTAGTTCTAGGAATTCTAGAAATAGCAATAAGACAAAAAAATTAAAGGCATAAATATATGCAAAGAGGAGACAAATTATCCCTTCCTCTGGTGACATGTCAACTTACTTAGAAAATCCTAGGGAATCCGCATAAAAACTAATTAAGATAATAGCTTTTAGTGAAATTTCAGATTATAAAAGAAACCCATAAAAATGAACAGCATTTTCATGTAACAATAACAAAATCTGAAAGCAATAATAGAAAAGGAAATTACATCCAAAATTACTTCAAAATGCACAAAAGATCTGTGAGTCAATCTACCAAGAAATGTCTAATACCTGCATAGGAACAATAACAAAAAAACTACTTTAAAAAATTTGTAAAAAACCAATTTAAGTGATTGGAGGGATGTTCAGTACTTATAGGTGGACCATACATGACAGTGTTAACAAAAATAGATTACGTATTTACTGCTATGCCAATCAAACTACCAAAGGGATACCTTATATAGCTAGACAAAATAATAACATTATATGGAGGAACAAAAATCTAAAATATTGAAGGAATAACGAAAAAGATGGAAATGAAAGAATTGCATTTCTGTGCCTCAAACTGTATTATAGAGCAATAATCATCAAAACATTTCATACTAATTCAAGACTGGAAAAGTAGATTAAAAAACAGATCTTAAAGGAAAAATCAACAATTAAACTCAATAACCTTTCATTTCATAAACCCAGAAACATAAATTGCTTAAGAAAAAAACCATCCTATTTGAAAAAAAATGGCTGAAAAAAACTAGTACTAAGAGTCTGGGACTGAAACATAGGAAAGATACAGCACTAGAGTTTGAGGGAAGACAGGGTCATGTGAGGTGATTTTTAATTTTTTTGTTATTTTGTTTTTGAGATAGCTAGAGGCTAAGCATGTTTGTAGGCAGCATGAAACAATTCTGTAAATAGGGAAAGACTGAAGATGAGAAGAGAGGAGGTGATCAATGGGAAAACTTCCCAGAGGATACAGGCATATGGCATCAAGAACACAAGAAATAAGTGGAAGGCTAGGCTTTGGCAAGTCTTTGAAATTGACAGAATAAGATATGGAGTAGAAGATATAAGGATGCTCAAGACGAATAACCTTAAGTTTTTTCAGTAAAGTAGGAGATCAGGTAGTTTGCTGAAGCACAGGAGGTTTGGGATAGTGTTGCGAGTTTGAAGTTCGAGCTTGTTGACTTACTGAAGGAAAAGGGCCAAGAATAATCAGAACTGTTTCAGTTATGATCACAATGGCCTGAGTGGAATGAAATGAACAGTTCAGTGTCTAGCACATGATTATAGAGCATGATTTGAAATTAATTGACTTGGAAGATTACAGCTAAGGTAAAGTGGGACAACCCTCTTGGCGGTAGCTGGGGAATTTTCCCCAGGTCAGGCCATAGAGTAAAACATTGACAGAATAAGAGCCCTGGTACCTCATAAAGACAGAAATGCTGTTTTTTTTTTTTTTATTCTTTTAAGATAAAAGAGGAAAACTATCAGGAGCAAAGCAAGAAGGAAGAAAAATAGAGCCACTTAGAAATTAGGCATACTCTTTAGGGATTCCTATCCCTAGTGCCCTGATCCAACATTTATGGTACAGTTTATGTGCTTATTAATATATTTCCTTTATAATACGTGTTCTTTTTCACAAGCTTAATATACTTTTATATAAAATGCAGGTTTCATATGTTCCTATTTCATAATGTCTTCATTAAGTTTTAACCACGCACTGGAAAGTATGCTATTTTCTCATAGATTCCTAGAATATTAGCACTAGAAAGGGTCTTGAAATTTTTGTGGTTGTTTAGTCATTTCAGTCATGTCTTACTCTTCTTGACCCGATTTGGATTTTTCTTGGCAAAGATACTGGAGTGGTTTGCCTTTCCCTTCTCCAGATCATTTCACAGATAAACAAACAGGATTAAGTGACATGCCCAGAGTCACACAGCTAGTAAGTGTCTAAGACCAGATTTGAACTCAGGAAGAGGAGTCTTCTTGACTCCAGGCCTGGTGCTCTATTCACTGCGCCATCTAGTCTATCAGGTTTCCCAGTTATAGAGCTACAGAATCTCAGAGTTGGAAGAACTCAGAGGTCATCTGGTCTCATCAGTACCTAAAAAGAAATACTCTCTAAAATGTGTCTGACAAGCTCACTGACTCTTGACTTGAAGAATTAATTGTTGAGGAAGACCTCCCTACTGTGAGACAGAGCTAGTTTTCAGTCAGTTTGTTCTTATAGCTTCCCAAAATTTGGATCTCTGAAACTTTCACACATTCCTTCTAGTTCTCTCCTCTGGGGCCATGTAGAATAAATTGACTCTCTCTTCCATATGGCAGGCCTTCAAAAGACTTGAAGATTACTCTTATGTCCTTCCTGAATCTTTTCTTCTCCAGGATAAAATCCCCAATCCCTTCCTCTAATTCCCCAATTCTGGGTACTTCCATCACCCTGAATGCCCTTTTCTGTAGATAGAAAGGTGAACTATCAATAGTAGGGCATTTCTCTAGTCTGCCAGTCAAGCAACTGTCAAAATTATTCACTAATTCAATAGTAAAAGGAGTTTATACAATAAGGGAATCCTAAAGCAACTATCAAGGAATTTTGCTTCTGGGCAGATTGTATTAGGGCTCTGATGAAGTGTAATATTATACCTTGTCATAAATGATAATATTTAACAATACTATTCATAGTAACATACAGACAACATGACTCAGTGGGATAAGAGGCTGGTCTTGGAGTCAAGAAAACTCAGTTTCAAGCCTTGCCTCTAACAAATATCATGCATAACCATGAAACTCTCGGTGATCAAGTAGCCCTATGACTATGTCATAAATGAATTCCAATCTGCATCGAAGGAGGGCATTTCTACTCCCAGAAATTCCCTATGCTCATAAAATTACAATTCTGGACACCCTCCCAAATCATAGTAATAGTAACACCCTTCCTAAGGTTGAAAGGGGGAGAGAATCTGTATTTGTTAAGCACCTACTTTCTCCCAGGTACTTTGTAAATATTATCTCATTTGATCTTTATAACAACCCTAGGAGGTAAGTACTATTATGATCCCCATTTCACAATTGATGAAAATAAGGCAAGCAGAAGTTAAGTGACTTACTCAGGGTCATAGGTGTAAGTTTCACCCAGTAAGTGTCTGAGGCTGGATTTGAATTCAGATCTTTCTGACTTCAAGCTTAGTATTCTGTGCACTGTGCCATCTAGCTGCCTCTCAAGAAGTTTCATTGTTAGGTGCAGCTAGGTGGCACAGTGGACAGTGCATGGGCTCTGAAGTCAGGAGCACCTGAGTTCAAATTCGGCCTCAGACCAAACACTTGACACTTATTAGCTGTGTGACCCTGGGCAAGTCACTTAATCCCAATTGCCTAAAAATTTTAAAAAAGAGGTTTCATTGTTGTTGTTCTTATATTATGCCATCTGTATAAGTCCCATTTTAGAGCAAAGGAAACAGATAAAGTAAAGAGAGAACTGACAGATGAAATGAGACTTGATATTCAAAGTAATTTAAACTCAAGCTAGCAAATCAACCTTGGGACAAGATGTCTCTTCTGTTTCCTATTCCACAGCTGAATCAGCCAGGCTTCTTTCTCTCCTAGGTAGCTTCAAAGTTTCTCTACCACTACAGACTCCATTGCAGCGGAAGAAAATAATTACTGTTGCTCCATTATTATTATCAGTAATAACTCTACCAGGGAGGTTAACAGCTTCACTTATTCCCCAAACCTAAAAAGAGGGCCTATTAGGTGCTGGAGACCTGAAGGACACTGGAAGAATCCTGTTCATTTCAAGTCCATTCTGCTCTCCTATAAGCCACTTACCTACTTCTTTTGAGGAAAGGAGGGGGGGGTAGAAAGATAAATGCTCACAGGAACTGATGATATAACACTGTGCAGCTGCTAATGCATATGGATGTGTCATGCAAATGTCCCCAGCAGAAACAGATTCTTTAGTTTAAACCTGCAACGCATTCAGCAATAAAAGAGTTTCCAAATCAAACTGCTGACTCCTTTTTTTCCTCCTTATCAAAACACCACAGCATAGATCTTTCCAGGCAAAGTAAATCAAAAAGAGAGGCAGCTGGAGAGAAGCAACTCTTGTCTTTCCCTGGATGTCAGGTGTGTGCTACCTTTCTGTGGATTAATTTGTGAAATTGGAATAACTGGGGGGGGGGGGCTACACCTCAAAAGAAGGTTATGGTGTCAATGCCTGTTGATTTCTTCAGAAAGGCCTTGTCTTTAAAAAGGAGAGATAGTCACTCACCAATATTTCCCTGTCTAAATTAAATGTGAATTGTTTACACCTTTTTATGCACAGAACAAAGATCTGTAGAAAGCAATGGAATGCTGAGCATAAGAGAACCCTCATCTGTATCCATTTACTCTTTTTGTCATATTTGAGTCTTGCAGATATTTTGATAAGTTGGTAGGTAGCAAGAAAAGAGATCAAAAGGGAAAAGTAGAGAAACAAAAAAAGAAAGAAAAGAACAAAATTAAGGAGTAAATTGGGTAAGAAATTTTTTGCCATATGACATTTTCTAAAAGGGTGGATTTGAGTATTTCATTTAACTGTGAATTTAGTGAACTATATATATTTCTCTGGCTAATAATACTACCTCCTTATGGAAAACTTCTGGAC